GGTGAACTGGTAGAGTCTCTAAATGATTATTTCGTAAGTGTAGCAAGTGATATCCCACCACTTGATATTTCAAGCCTTCCAACATTCTTACCAGCTGCGGTGCCGCCTCCTACAATTCATCCTCATGAGGTTTGTAGTAAGCTCTTAAAACTTCAGACTAATAAGGCTATGGGCCCGGACAGTATTCCATCACGAATTTTAAAAGAGTTCGCCTACGAACTTGCTGAGCCAGTTACATCAATATTTAATACATCTTTGTCCTCTGGACTAGTACCTGTTTTATGGAAAGATTCTACCATCATACCCATTCCTAAAGCGAAACAAACCCAGATTGAGAGCGATACCCGCCCCATCGCACTTACCCCTGTGTTATCGAAAGTACTCGAAGACTTTGTGGTTAGTTGGATGGTTGAGAACATAGGTGGACAAATCGATAATCGTCAGTATGGCAGCCTGAAGGGAACATCTACTACCCTTTGCCTTCTAGTTCTTATCCACAACTGGCTTTCTAAAATGGACAACCCAGGTTGTAGCAAAGCTTTCGATAGAATAGACCACAATATTGTTATAACAAAATTGATCGATTTGGGAGTGCGCCGTTCAATAATCCCTTGGATTTGTAGCTTCCTTTCAAATCGCCGCCAGTGTGTTAAGCTGGGACAGTGCGTGTCCCGATGGCTTTCAACTAGTGCTGGGGTCCCACAGGGTACCAAATTGGGTCCAATCCTTTTTGTCATAATGATTAATGATTTGAAAATAGTATCCCCGCGTTCCAGTAATTGGAAGTACGTAGACAACGTGACGATATCTGAGATTGTTCCAACAAGGGAGGTATCTGTACTACAAAACGAATTGGACGCAACTGGTAAGTGGACAAGTACCAATAATATGAAATTGAACCCCAAAAAGTGTAAAGAGATGATTGTCTCCTTTCGACGAGATATTGAGCAGCCACCACCCACCTTAGTTGTTGAAACCATTAGTCTTGAAAGAATAGAATCCCACAAAGTATTAGGGTTTAACGATCCAGAATAATCTGAAGTGGGATTTGCATATCAGTGAGATAGTAACCAAAGCATCAAAAAGACTACACATCTTACGAGTTCTCAAGCGCAGTGGAGTTTCACCGTTTCATTTACTACGAGTACATTTTGCACTTATTAGATCCCTGCTTGAGTACTGCTGTCCGGTATGGCATTCATCATTGACCATTAACTTGTCAGATAAAATTGAACGGGTCCAGAGGCGCACAATGCGAATAATCTACCCCACATTAAGCTATGACGCTGCTCTGGACCAAGCTAAATGTTCGACATTACGCGCAAGACGTGATGGTTTGTGCATAAAAACTTTTGACAAAATCAGACAGCCTGATTCACGCCTTAATCATTTAATACCACCTTCTCGGGCCAATGGACACAATTGTAATTTAAGGTACGGAAATAGATTAACACTGTTTCCTTGTAAGACGGAGCGCTTTAAGAAAAGCTTTTTTCCTACTATGTGTTTTCAATCACATAACTTATAAATTTTGTAAATTTTGTAAATTTAAAAGTTCTTTCGATATTAATTCATAGATCAGTAAACTATTGTTGTAATATAATGCCAGTAACACAAGGTACTTTTTAATACTTTTAACTAAAGTTTGTAAATAATTTCGCAATTCGCTTTCATCGAGCGCGACGATTTTCATAATAAACCATTAATAATAATATGCGGAACGGAACGGATATGGGGTTAAAATGCGGAACGGAACGCATATGGGGTTAAAATGCGGAACGGAACGGATATGGGGTTAAAACGCGGAATGGAACGGGAATAAAACGTTTTTTAAAAACAGACATGATTTTTCATGTTCCGCGTTTTAACCCCATATCCGTTCCGTTCCGTATTTTAACCCCATATCCGTTCCGTTCCGCATTTTAACCCCATATCCGTTCCGTTCCGTTCCGCATATCCGTTCCGTTCCGCATTTTAACTCCATATCCGTTCCGTTCCGTTCCGCATATCCGTTCCGTTCCGCATTTTAACCCCATATCCGTTCCGTTCCATTCCGCATATCCGTTCCGCATCCGTTCCGCATCCGCTTCCGCGTTTTAACCTAACCCGTGCAATTTTCTGTAATTACAGTGCAATTTTCTGTAATCACAGTGCAATTTTTTGTAATCACAGTGCAAAAACCTGTAACAAACTGATCTGATTGGTGCAAAAACATTGTGATGATTAAATCAACCAATCAGTTTAAAGCAATTTAGTTTAAAGAAGTAACGGTCACAGATTGCTTAAAAACAAAACAAACATGGCGCCGCGCTACACAAAGTGAAAGTTGCCTTCGCGTAGAAAATATGGCTTTTATCTTTATTTTTAAATGGAAAAGCATTTACCTTAAACAAGACTAACAAAAATGACATAGTTGAGTGGAATTTTCAAGCTGTTAGCGTTGTATAATGTGATATAACAAAGCCGGGAAAACTTTGCCAGTGGAATGTTCGCTATAAACGCGTAAGTTAAAACTACAATTGTCTCGAACATTTTCATGTAAATTATTAATAAGTAATAGCATGGTTTCTCGTGAAATTTGGATAAACATGGACTCGTGAGTTTTTCAAAGACCTCAAATAGCACTCGTCCTTCGGACTCGTGCTACATTGAGGTCTTTGAAAAACTAACTCGTGCATGTTATATCCAAATTGCACTCGAAACCATGCTATTACCTATACATAAGGCCGGTTTACACGACAAGCGTTTTGGGCACGGCACCCCTGAAAATGGGCACCGTGCCAAAACCGCCACTTCGCTATTTACTCGTTTACACGACAACATTTTGTAAACACATTTTTATGATAGGCACCGTGCCCATCGGAAAACGGCACCTCTACTTTCCGTTTACGACGGTATATTTTAAAGAATAAATATGTCGGACAGAAATAGAATTATATATTTATATTTATTGGAACGAAGAAGAGTATTATATGAGCCGAAAATCGAGGGGGAAAACCAATTCAATACTAGAAATTAAAGTACTTTAAGGGCCAGCTCATATGAGCAAAAGTTATCCCGGTTAGCGAGAATTTCAAAACTTTTCGACAAGTTTACAAACGAGATCTTGCTTTGGTATGAAAATAATATGAAAAGTTACATTGCGTTCATAATTATGAGACAAAAAGTTTTCCCGTGTACCGAGATCTCGCTTGTTGCATGACAAGCCAAATCTCGGTGACCGGGATAATGTTTTTCCCATATGCATGAACACAACCAGTTTACCGCTTAGCGGGATAACTTTCTGTCGTATCAGCATCTTTTCAATCAATTGATATTCAGTGCATGCCCATCGGAAAACGGCACCTCTATTTTCGGTTTACGACGGTATATTTTAAAGAATAAATATGCCGGCCAGAAATAGAAATAGAATTATATATTTATATTTATTGGAACGAAGAAGAATATTATATGAGCCGGAAATCGAGGGGAAAACCAATTCAATACTAGGAACGTACTTTATAGGCCAGTTCATATGGGCAAAAGTTATCCTGGTTAGTGGAAAAAACTTTTCGAAAAGTTTACAAGCGAGATCTCGCCTTGGTATGAAAATAATATGAAAAGTTAGTTTACACTGCGTTCATATAAGACAAAACGTTTTCCCGTGTACGTACCGAGATCTCGCTTGTCAAGTGATGTTTTTCCCATATGAACACAACTCTAGTTCCCGATTTACAAATCAATTGATATTCAGTGCTATGTCACAGCCGGAAACTTTACCCGATAAGCGGAATAACATTTCTCCATGCATGTGGACAGAACAAAAGTATATTTGGCTAGTCGAAAAGTTTTCTCGTTAACCGAAATAACCTTTGCCCATATGAACAGGTCCTTTAAGACGAAAGGAATTGTTTTCTCGCATAAATGTTGTGCCATCTTGTATTCACCCGCCACGAATTCGGGAGGAATGGACGCATCGAACGACAGCTATTTGCTACGACCTAGTTACTGCTCTCTTTAGCGACGAACAGTGGTATAAAAATTTCCGAGTCAACTAGAGCAACATTAACATTCTGTGTTATTTAAATTTGTTTTTAACCTTTTTTTTTATTTTTGGCAAGTTGTAGTTTTTCGCCGCTTGCTGCCATGTTGGAAAGAAGACAATTTGTTTGGCGCATGCTCGATGTCGAACACATTTTTTATTTTTTCCGAAATTTGGGCACGGCACCCCTTGCTAGACGTGCCGAGACTACCTCGTGAGAAAGTCTCGGCACGTTTAAATTTTGCGGCACCGGTGCCGATTATTGTCACGTTTACACGCCAAAAGGCAGAGGTGCCGTGCCTAAAATTTTGGGCACGGGTGCCCATTTTTAGGGGTGCCGTGCCCAAAACACTGGTCGTGTAAACCGGCCTTGTGATTACAGAAAATTGCACTGTGATTACAAAAAATTGCACTGTGATTACAGAAAATTGCACTGTGATTACAGAAAATTGCACTGCTGTTTGGGATTAACTGCACTGAAATCAACCAATCACAGTCGAGTAATATCTTTGTGTATATTATTAAGCATGCAAATAGCTGATTTTTAGGAAAAATGTAAATTTACGTGAATAGTTAAAGGGCTTAAACTAAACCAAATTGTCTGAAATTTTGTACAGTAATTAAAAGCCCGACCAGTTTTCCATCTATTAACTCAAAATATGATTAAATCTTATAATTTCGTGCGCGAGCCATTTTTAGTTTGTTGGAAAAGACACACCCGCCCTGGTTCACAAAATTTGAGATCGAGGAAATTTTTTTCGTTATAATTCTACATTATAAGTACCCAAAGAAGCTATACAGTATATATATATATATAAAACGGATACAAATAGGTAATTTTCGAAAATGAGAGCAATTTCAAATCTGTTCAGTTTTTTTTAATATACACCCTGTATAATGTTTTGATGAGTTGTCTTTACAGATAATTGAACTAAATAAACCTTTGATTAATTATTAAACCTATAATTTATGTATGATTAATATAGATATGAAGATGTTGACAAGATATTTCCTGTTGTTTGCCCTACAATACAGTATTGTTGTAAGCAGTCAATGTTTGTTGGAAAACCCGAAACCTGGAGGTATCAAGTATTGGATTTTAACCTATTCATGCAGTACAACAAATATAGAAATACGAACGTCTGTCTATACAAACAGCAACGGCAGTGGTTAATATTCTACAAATATAGGAACAGAAAACTAACTATTTTCTGAACCATACTTTTTGTGCAGAATTATGTATCAATAATTTTATTGAAGTGCCTTCACATAATTCTGCAGAACATTCTTCGATCTGGTGATTAAATATATTCTATTGAATCTCTGTCCGTTAAGAGCACTTTACTGTATATCTTAATTAGCATAGAAACCACAAAGGGTTCGATAAATAGGTATAGATAAATAGGCATGGATAAAACATTTTAAAGATGAGTCTCACATCATGGTATTGCAAGCTTAAAATTCTGTTTGAGGCCATTTTATGAGCCGAGTGAATCCAAATATTTTTTATTGGGTAAGATAAAAACAATAACAGACGCGCGCGATACCATAGTGTGACACTAACCCTTTAATGAAATTGGTTACTACAAGATGTTTTCGCCAATCACTGTTTTAGAACTTCATCCATCTATTGAATTGGAGGTGATAACTAAAGAAACATATCCTCAAAACAATGATACGCATGTAACCGTACGATGCAAAGCTACAGCACCAGTCATCAACTCACAACTGTATAACCCGACTCTCCTAAATCCATCCGTAATATTATTCTTCTTCAATGACAAGCGCGTTCCAGTTAGCAACTGTCGACCATCGTCAGGAAATAAACAAAAGATATGTGAATTGGTAATACCAAAACCTGAAGGAGAGGGTGCAGGGAAGTATTATTGTATGGCCAGAAATGGAATCCGCTGTACAACAATGGGAGTCAGTATTCCTTCCAATCCGTGCCCAGGTAATCACAGATTTTAAATGTTTCAAAACCTTGACCGAGCCCTTAATTTCTGTGGCCATTTTGGATATAATTCTCTATTTCCATACGAAACTTAGCCGTGCGCTATCAAACAACAAAATCAGAAACCTATAAGACGGCTAAATCTAGACAGCCTTTACCAAAAAGGAAACATTTCGTTCCAATATTTTAATAACTTTATCTCCTGTATTTTTTAATATTTAACAATTATTCGCCGAAGGCGAGGCGATTATCGGGGATTAGTATAAATTTTGCATATCAAATAAGCTTTCGCGCGTTCTGATTGGCTAGTTGACTAGTAAATCTGAGGCATTATTTAGTAGCAGACTGGCATGGTAGAAAACCCGGGTACCGGATAACCGGACAACCGGATAACCGGATAATCGGATAACCGGATAACCGGATAAGCGGATAACCGGATAATCGGATAACCGGATAACCGGATAACCGGATAATCGGATAACCGGATAACCGAATAACCGGATAATCGGATAACCGGATAACCGGATAACCGGATAGTATATAGAGATTTTTTCTTGGGAAATACTTACGTGTGGTATTTACGCACGCGTTATAATCTGTTTTCGCAAATTAAACGAACGAGCGAGTGCAAAATTTGTTCTTCATAGACGATACAGAGTTTATTTATATTACACAGCGAAAAATATAAAGGTTTATATGTTTCATAAAGCGAGACAATCAGATAAACAAAGTCGTGTCGTACAAAAATACATCGGAAAATACAAATTTTTCAGTATTAATGAACAGGAAAGGAAATATCATATCAATTTATTATTATTATTTACAAATATTTTAAAACGGTAGCTCTTCAGAACACCTATGATCCGTTTATCAAGAGGCCGTTTAAACTAATATTTACAAAGTTTAATAAAAATTACATCTAAAATATAATATAATATAAATTATCACACAGTTAAAGTCTAAGAGAATATATACAAAATATTGTATGCACACATAAATATAACTAACAAATATTGTCGTTTTCTCTGAGAAATGTTTTGAATTGTCCCATCGTCATTTCTTTTGCCTTAATCTCATTTGGCAAATTATTCCAGCATTTTGCCCCTGAGTAGCTAATACTTTTTTTGAGGAAATTAGTCTTAGGTTTATCCAGTTGAAATTTAATTTCGTTATTTCTAAGGTCATATTTTTCATTATTAGAGAATCTAAACAAATTAGCCATATTTGCCGGTGCCTCCTGATTTTTAACATTAAACATGAATGTGAATCTCCCGCTTCCCTTCTTTCCTCAAGTGTTTGCCAATTAAGCTCTTTTAGCAATTCACTTGTTCGTATTTCATATGATTTGCCAGTAATTATTCTTGCCGCTCTATTTTGCATTTTTTTGCATCTTGTCGTGCAAGTAATTGCTGCAATTTTCCCAAACTAGACTGCAATAATCAATAAAAAGGAAATATCAATAAAATAATGCACACTAAAAATTTTTAATTTGTTAAAAATTCGGAAAAAAAAATACCGGGGTGTGTGAAAATATTGCTGCAATCATTATTGCAGCGTAAAACGTGCCTTTCTGACCGATAGCTACTAATAACGAACAGAAATCCTCGGCAGAAATCAGTCTCAAAGTAATAAATATTTGCCCGAAAAATAGAAATCAAACCTAGAATTGTTATTGTTGAGAATATTAAATGCCCATCTCTGTTTATTGTTGAAAACATGACAATCAAAATATTAAAGTAACAACAGTTGATTGGCTTCCTTGTTTTTACCGACTTAGCTACTCTTGAAGTGCAAAGGATAATTTTCAATTCCCGTTAGAAGTTGGTATTTTTAATAGCATCACTTTAATACAGACAGTTCTTTAATATTGATCCTTTCTCACACGAAATATTTTATAAAAAACCTGGTAAAAAGCTTTTATAGCGCGTGATAATATAAACCTTTCACTCAATTAAAATGACAAAAATACAAACAAGTTAGAGTTATAGACCATGCATGTATTATAAAGTTGGTATATATAAATGATGTTTCAACGCATGCATGTGTGTCTATTCGTTCATGTTTAAACTGTAAATTAAACTGATACTCAGTGAGGGAATTTTAGTACGAGTAAAAATCCTACGACTCTATCCGCGTTTTCGCTTGAGTTTTCGCTTGCTCTGAGATTCAATATTGTTGGCCGTCTATAATATGGCATAGCATACCGAGCATACTAGCCTACATATAAGAAGGTCGCACACGACGACGCGGTACTAGGCTATATGTCCTGACTCCTATATATATCATTATGGAGGTCAGTATAGGCTATAGCACGAAAGATTGCATACACTACAAATTATTCTCTTTTAGGATGCGCCAGTTTTATATTTATAAACAACAAGTTGATCTTCTGCTGACATGTTTGTACTGAATCTTCTGCTGACATGTTTGTACTGAATCAAAAGGTTTTTTATAAAATATTTCGTGTGAGAAAGGATCAATATTAAAGAACTGTCTGTATTAAAGTGATGCTATTAAAAATACCAACTTCTAACGAGAATTGAAAATTATCCTTTGCACTTCAAGAGTAGCTAAGTCGGTAACAACAAGGAAGCCAATCAACTGTTGCGTACTTTAATATTTTGATTGTCATGTTTTCAACAATAAACAAAGATGGGCATTTAATATTCTCAACAATAACAATTCTAGGTTTGATTTCTATTTTTCGGGCAAATATTTATTACTTTGAGACTGATTTCTGCCGAGGATTTCTGTTCGTTATTAGTAGCTATCGGTCAGAAAGGCACGTTTTACGCAATAATGATTGCAGCAATATTTTCACACACCCCGGTATTTTTTTTCCGAATTTTTAACAAATTAAGAATTTTTAGTGTGCATTATTTTATTGATATTTCCTTTTTATTGATTATTGCAGTCTAGTTTGGGAAAATTGCAGCAATTACTTGCACGACAAGATGCAAAAAAATGCAAAATAGATCGGCAAGAATAATTACTGGCAAATCATATGAAATACGAACAAGTGAATTGCTAAAAGAGCTTAATTGGCAAACACTTGAGGAAAGAAGGGA